GGGGGAATTTAAGGGGGGAGTCTGGAAGAATCATAAATATTTCAGGAATAACCAAAATTTATTAAATTATATATACGTACTTTATTATGGTTTTAATTTTCAAATTGTTTTGGTAGATGATCAAGAAAGAAGTTTTTTTTTGTATAATAGGTGCACAAAACTCTATGTCCTACAAAACAAACCATTTTTGGATTTTGCATATATTTTTTTGAATACATATTTGTTAGATTTAGCTTCTTATTGTGAATATTTAAAAATATTTGGTCAAGTGTATAAAATGATCATATTTTTCTTACAATTTGACAATTTCAAAAACTATATATATGGGAAAATTTGCAAATATTCAGAGTTATCTACAAAGACTGAGACGTTAAAGACGACCTGAAACACTCTTAATTTGACGATCTCAACGTTGGATTAAATTTTATGTCTTACATTTATTCTTGTATAATTGCTTATTTAATGATCGGGCTGTAAAAGGAAACAAGTTTACTGCTGCAGGAAATAGTAAATATTTAAAAAAATTTATATTTTGGATTTTTGGTGGCCATTGATCAGCATTTGAACAGTATTGTACAGTAGATCCCAAAAGCACGGGAATTAATTGATGACCTTGTAATTTTCCTTTTTAGAACATTTCTGGTCGACAGTAGCTCTGTTTGTGAAAAATTAAAATTTTCGATTTTTAGTAAGTTGAATCCATCTTGAAAAGTGTTTAATTCTTATAAGTTCCTTCCATTCTATCCACAGAAGAAAAGTTCAAGTCACTTTTGTTGAGAAACCACAGTGAAAATAATTTATTTTAACAGATTTAAACATGGATATTTCATTCATACTTGATCAGGCCTACAGAGGTTGTATCTTGAGTGATATATCAATTGAGTTACAATTCCTCTCCAGAACTCAATGGTCTACAACAATACCTTAGTCTGCAACAATCCAGATACAACACTCTCTATATTCGTCAATATCTATCAATCGAGATAGTATACTTACTAACCTATAATCCCATTTTTTCAATTTTTTGGTTTGATAATGAAGTTAAATTTAAGATAAATAAAATCTTTATTTTCTGATTTACCCCATTTTTACATAATCAATAAAAGTACATGTTTTAAGTTTGATAATATATGTATATTTTGTTAACCCTATCCCTGCTGGGGTACTTGAAAACCAGGATACGTTAATCTAATATCATTCATAGTTTGAAATATCTAAGGTNAAGAAATGAATAAGAAATGAATAAGAAATGAATAAGAAATGAATAAGAAAAGAATAAGAAATGAATAAGAAATAAATAAAAAATGAAAAAGAAATGAATGAGAAAAGAGTTACAGTAAATATCTTTAAAAAAAATCCGACTGCTAATTTGTTTCTACGTACTTGAAACTGTTTTAGGCATAGATTAATAACAATACAGATAGAGCACTGAATGTCGTCCAAGATTTAGGGGTTTTTCGTTCACAATAACCCTGAGGCAAAAGCCCAAAGGAGTTCCGCTGCACTGCATGCGCATAACTTATGGGGTTTTGCCCCAGAGTTAATCGAAAAAACCCTAAGTATTGAAAAGACGACATCTATTGTTCTATATCTGTGTTGTTATTTATCTATGTTTTCAGGCCCCGGTCCTGTAATTCAGACAGGGACTGTCCTGCAATAAGAAGGTAATTTTTTTTTCAAAAATTATGAAAGTTTAAAATATTTTATTATTTATTTTCTAAGAACCTTTACAAACTTTGCCACAAACTCAACTTTCCTAATCCCTTATCAAATAGATTCTAAAACTGATTCTAATTCTGATGGCAACGTAGAATTTGTTCACTCTCAGTACAGCTGTTTTCTGACGTCATAAGTGTCAACTCAGTTTTTATTACCAACAAAATTGTTGATAATAGTAATAATTTTAGACGAAAGTGCTTATCTTATAGTAAAATAAGTGCAATTGTATGTGTTCTTTTTTCTGTTTTTACACTTTTTTACTTAATCTTGAAAAAATGTCAACTAATGGGAGAAAATGTTGTCTTCCTTGTTATATTTGACACTTGTGACGTCATGTATAATTGGTCCATTTCTCTGTTGCCACCTATTGTACTTGAGGGTCTATAACAGTCTACACCTTTTTTTGATCTGACAAAATTCATAGTTTGAAATATATAAGGTCTACGACATTGGGCTCCAAAGATATAAGGATTAGAAAATCAAAGCATGTAGCAAAGAGGCAATTTCTTTATAATTATTCAAGGATGACGGATGAAATAAATATTATTACCAAAGACAATAATTCCTTCAAAAAAAACAAAAACAATGAAAAAAATATCTAAATATAAAGAAGATACATTTCCTAGAAGATGTTCATTCTTTGGATGTATTTCTTGATGGATATTTATTCTTTAGATACATTTCTTGATGGATATTTATTCTTTGGATACATTTCTTGGTGGATATTTATTCTTTGGATCCATTTCTTGGTGGATATTTATTCTTTAAATATATTTCTTGGTGGATATTTATTCTTTAAATATATTTCTTGGTGGATATTTATTCTTTGGATACATTTCCTGGAAGATATTTATTCTTTGGATACTTTTCTTGGTGGATATTTATTCTTTAAATATATTTCTTGGTGGATATTTATTCTTTAAATATATTTCTTGGTGGATATTTATTCTTTGGATACATTTCCTGGAAGATATTTATTCTTTGGATACTTTTCTTGGTGGATATTTATTCTTTAAATATATTTCTTGGTGGATATTTATTCTTTGGATACATTTCCTGGAAGATATTTATTCTTTGGATACATTTCTTGGTGGATATTTATTCCTTGTATACGTTTCTTGGTGGATATTTATTCTTTAAATATATTTCTTGGTGGATATTTATTCTTTGGATACATTTCCTTGAAGATATTTATTCTTTGGATACATTTCTTGGTGGATATTTATTCTNGATAGATAGATAGATAGATAGATAGATAGATAGATAGATAGATAGATAGATAGATAGATAGATAGATAGATAGATAGATAGATAGATAGATAGATAGATAGATAGATAGATAGATAGATAGATAGATAGATAGATAGATAGATAGATAGATAGATAGATAGATAGATAGATAGATAGATAGATAGATAGATAGATAGATAGATAGATAGATAGATAGATAGATAGATAGATAGATAGATAGATAGATAGATAGATAGATAGATAGATAGATAGATAGATAGATAGATAGATAGATAGATAGATAGATAGATAGATAGATAGATAGATAGATAGATAGATAGATAGATAGATAGATAGATAGATAGATAGATAGATAGATAGATAGATAGATAGATAGATAGATAGATAGATAGATAGATAGATAGATAGATAGATAGATAGATAGATAGATAGATAGACCTTGGAAATACTAAAATCTCTGAAATTATTTAATATAAAGGAATTTTATTAAACGAGAAACAGCATTTTTGGATCATCATATATAGAGTTATAATTGGAACATCTTTGTTCCATGATTGGAGCATCATTGGAGCATGATTGGAGCATGATTGGAACATGATTGGAGCATCATAGGAACATCATTGGTTGGAGCATCATTGGAGTATCATTGGAGCATCATTGGAGCATCATTGGAGCATCATTGGAGTATCTTTAGAACATCATTGGAGCATCATTGGAGCATCATTGGAGCATCATTGGAGCATCATTGGAGCATCATTGGAGCATTATCGAAGTCTTTAAATAGTTTCACGAAAACTGGAGGCGTTATCTTGGCGTAGTAGTATACTTACTAACCTATAATCCCATTTTTTCAATTTTTTGGTTTGATAATGAAGTTAAATTTAAGATAAATAAAATCTTTATTTTCTGATTTACCCCATTTTTACATAATCAATAAAAGTACATGTTTTAAGTTTGATAATATATGTATATTTTGTTAACCCTATCCCTGCTGGGGTACTTGAAAACCAGGATACGTTAATCTAATATCATTCATAGTTTGAAATATCTAAGGTTTAGAAATTCAGAGTTTGTGACAAAGACTCAATTCCTGTGCAAATTTGCAAAAATTGCAGTAATTTTTTTGCAAAATCCAGATATTTAGTAAAAATGTCATTTTTAAAATCTAACAACTGAAAGAGGGCCAAAGCAAAGATTTAGTTTGTTACAGGAAAAGTAGTCATTCAGGCAGTATGCCTGAGGACTCAGGCAGTTAGTATAAAAGCCCAAGTTTAGACCTAAAGGGAGGGGTCATGGGTATTTAAGAAAATCTAGAAAAATTCAACAGCCTCAGACCAATGCTTTTTGAGTTCTGTAAAAAACTACAGGGGGTCAATTTTACCCCTCCCCCCCCAGCCGGAATAGGGTTAATGTTATTTTTTTCTAGTGTGTGCATTATATATTACTATTAAATCATTGACATTATTTTATGAAATTAACATAGTTTCATCAAATAAACGTATCATCTTCACTTTTTTCTTAAATCTTTAATGTTGAAGATTATCGAAATATATACTATATCTGCATGAAACGCGTATTAAAAATATTTGAAGATTTAGTTTATAACAAGCCTGTAGGATTGATTGATTGATAAATGAAAAAAGCATGTTAAAAGGGAATTGAGAATTCTATTATTAAAATGGGGAATTTAAGAGTGAGATGATAGGAAATAGTGTTTAAAGATGGGTGTTTGCTATGAAGGGGGGGGGG